CCCAAGAATCAGTTGTACAAGTTATTTGCTCAGTAATCCCACAAAATTAGGGAATCATAAAACTCAGTCACACTAACTACATTTTCTCACTGTAACTTCTTGGGTTCATGCTCCTGCGTCTGTTTTTTAAACCGGTGTGGGAAGGGCAGAGCTTCAGCCCAGGTGGAGGGAGTGGAGCCTGGAATGAGCTGCTGGAGGTCTCATTTCAATCACGATATGGAGGCAATTACCTGTGCAGATGTGACCCACGCGGCTTACACCAGGTCGCTGAGAAATGAGTCTGCATTGGTAGGGCTCTTGTTTTCAAGACTATGTAAATATACCATGTAGGAAAAATGGATAGTTAACCTTTACTTTAAGAATAAACCAAAAATAAATTCATAAATTAGAGTTCATTTTGAATCACATTATGAAAGATAAATAAATTATATAACTAAACAAAGACATTTAACTCTATTTCAAAACCTGATATGAGTGGCTCAAAATATTGACTAAGATGAATGCAAAATAACCAGGTGACTTTAATATTCTGTTGGCCTTTGGGTACTCTTTTTTCTTTCAAGGATAAGAACATCACTTCCCAGCCAAGATTTTGAGTTGTTTTGATAGTTCTCTGATCATTCCCAGAACGGTGAAGGAATTCTCAGTTTTAAATCCTCTGAAAAAAAATACAGGTACTCGTAATCCAATATTTGATTATTTTAATGGGGCATCGGAGGTTTAGGCAGAGTCATGAAATCCAAACAAACAATTGAATGTTGCAACCCACTTAATAAAATTAGTTCCAGGACACACAAATCACTCAGTTGGAAGAGAATCTTCAAGAAGAGGCTATAATTAAAGTAAGAGGGTTTCTCATCAAGACAGAGCCTTAGGACTTTGGCTCTGAGGTACATAAGCTTTGCACATTCTTTGAACCTGTCTTCACTGTTTGAAAAGAGAGAGAGAGGGGGAGATGGAGCTAGAGCCAGAGAAAGAAAGGAAAGGAGGGAGAGAATTTTAAGGAAACTATGATGCATAAGGGATAAAAAGAAAAAAATATCTGCTGGATAATTAGCAAATTCCTTCACAAAGAGAACATTTAAAAGTTTAAAGTTATCAACATCAACTAGACCACATTGTTTCCAAAATAATGCTTACTATTATTTTCTATTCTAAATTCAGTCAATTCAGAAAATTCTTTAAAGAGGAAAGTAGGGGAAGGAGTGGAAAGAAGGGTCCTCTTCAGTAACTACCAATTGAAATTTCAATCTGTTGTGAAGTTTTGGTATCTTGTGTCACCCAAGAGGGGGAAAGAGCCTTAAATATCAATTCCAAGCTGGCTCAATATTTGTTTGTCCTCAGTTTGAACCAAATTAATTTGATATCCAAATGTGCTACTTTTTAACCAAGTGTTGTGCTAATGTGCAGTCAGTCAGTCGTGTCTGATCTGCAATCCTTAGGACTGCAGCCAGCCAGGCTCCTCTGTCCATGGGATTTCTCAGGCAAGAATCCTAGAGTGGGTTGCCATTTCTTCCTCCAGTGGATCTTCCCAACCCAGGGAACAAACTCGAACCTCCTGTGTCTCCTGCACTGAAGGTGGATTCTTCACCTGCTGAGTCAGTTGGGAAGCCCAGCAAAGCAAGTATACTATATAATTCAACTCCTTCAGTTGCTGAAGTTGGAAGGGGTGAATTGTATTTTTAGCTGAGCAAGTATAAAAGAGAGCTGGAAATGGTTTGGGTCCCATATCCAGTGGGGAAAATGGAGAACTGGTGGCCAATTAGTCTACAAAATTGGCTGAATTTCAAGAAGAAAAATGGTGGTGAGAAAGGTTTTCATATTTAACATTTTAAGAATAAAAAGTACACTTTAAGTACAGAAGGATAAGGATCAGTAAGATAAGGAAGTGAAGCTTACTTCCTACCTGAGCAAGGAGATGAAAACAAATTCAAAGTCCTTCAACCTATCTTCACAGGGCCAGGGCAAAGGGCTGTAGTCCCCACTGCTAAGGCAATAGGAGAAGCAGGAAATGGAGGGAAGCAGGAAGCGTTCAGGCAACAGCATCTGGAATGGCTGTGACCTTACCCATGACAGTTTCTTGACTGTTTGTTACTCTGAACTTTCACCCTTCCTCTTTCTTTCTCTTCCACTCCTTCCTTCTTTTCATGCTCTTCTCTAATGCATTGGGCTTTCCTGGTGGCTCAGAGGTTAAAGCGTCTGCCTGCAATGAGGGAGACCTGGGTTCGATCCCTGGGTTGGGAAGGAGAAGGAAATGGCAACCCACTCCAGTATCCTTGCCTGGAGAATCCCATGGATGGAGGAGCCTGGTGGGCTATATTAGTCCAAGGGGTCACAAAGAGTCGGACACAACTGAGCGACTTCACTTTCACTTTCACTTTCTCTACTGCATTGGGTCTGCCTCTTCCTCTCTGAGGCTAACACAAGGAGCAGGTCTGAATAAAAGCAAGATTCTGGCAGTATCAGGGAAGAGTGGTAAAAGATACTTGTTACTCCAAGCTCTAACTTCCACCTCCTTGAGATATCAGGTGATTTTAGTCAGTGAAAATCCATGATTTCTTGGCATCCCTCAAAATATCGTGATTTATAATATAAGAATTTGCATGCATGTTCTTTGGTAAATAAAATGCACAAAATTAATCAGTCAACACAGTTTATTTGGGATTACCCTAACCACTAGCTTATTTGCTCACTTAAATGTCATGAACAATTACAAAGGGCTCTTCTCATGCCTCTGTTATTCTGTCTCTTCCCATCCTTACTAGTAAATTTATCTGGCGGGTGGACCTCACAGGCTTCATAGATCAATGACTGATGCTATAGAAGTTCTTAATGGCCCACTGGGTTCAATCCTCATGTATTTGTATTGAGGGTGGGAGGAAACATGTGTACCACCCTCCTTTCTGAATATGATCCTAACTTTTCCTGCAAGATAATCAGTACAAATTACAGTTTGAATGAACTTGCTCACATTCTCTGAGAATACACGCCAGTAGGCAATCTAATGACCCCATCATAGAAAAAGCCCCGACTTTGACACAGTTCAAACAGGAACATTCCTAAATGTTTCCATCTCCAAGTATCTTCTTATTATATGCAGGCAGAAAATTGACTGAGTCAATTCCACTGACCTGAAAAAAACTTTTTGCTGATCTCAAATTTTTAGACCCTGACTGTGTAACGATCGGTAAATTGTTACCTATGTAACCGCTTTGTGCATGAGTAAGATGTGTTGATTTTCAACTAGCCTGGTTGCAGGCTCCTCAAAGGTATAGTATTTTGAGTTTTCTGTCATTGTGCTGTTTCTCTTCAAGGCCAGTTTGTTGTAGTGTTTTGGTAGGATTCTCATAAATGGTGATCTATAAAATATGGCATTTTTTCTAATAAAAAATTCAATTCACCTTTGAAAAAAAAAAAAACATCTGTAGAACTGAAAGACCCCCATTCTAGATCTTACTAAAATCTTATATCAAAGGCAATTCATACACATATAAAACAAATTCTGAATAAAAATTATATCTGTTTCTGGATCCAACCAGGAAAACAAACCTCTCTAGTTATATAAAATAGAGGAAATTTAATTCCTTCTACAGATGATAAATGGAGATGGGGATGGCAACCCACTCCTGTATTCTTGCCTGGAGAATCCTATGGACGGAGGAGCATGGCAGACAATGGTCCATGGGATCACAAAGAGTCAGACATGACTGAGCAACTAACACTTTTATACTTTCATAGATGATAGAAGCTGATAAGTAGAGCCCACAATAGTGGTATAATCCAGAGACTGGCAAGAGCCAAGACCCTCTCTGAGGCTGGAAGAATAGAGAAAAAGATCACTGTTATCTTAAAACCCAAAGTCAAGGTCATAGGAGCAAATGGCCCAGATCTGGTACCCTGGCAGAGTGTTAGCTTAGTTAATATGAACACTGAGTGCAAAATAAATTCAGGAAAAAGTATTGCTCATGACACATTATACCATGAGTGTTCAATATATATTTATAGGTCCCATACATACATCAGGATGACTCAAAGAAGTCATCAACAAGCTTTTATGCAAAATTGGCAACAGGGACATTTGAGATAGCATCCAATAATTATTTTCCTTTCAGTTATTTCTTTCCAGTGCTGCCTAAACAAGCAAAAAAGAGTCACCTGGTACATGTGAATTTATTGGGATCATTACCCTGAATCCAAGATAACTAACTACTTAGTTTTCATTCTCTTTATGAAAGCAAAGCTTGGCATGCCTGGAAAACCCGCAGTCTACAGGTCGCCCATTTCTCTCCAAGCCTTTTGCCCAGCCTTCTCACCAGTCTGTGAGGCTATGGTGTCTGGCTTGTGGCTAGACCACAATTCTGAGGCAGTTGGCAAGTGGGGGCTGCGCCTGGCTGACTTCACCGTGATGGTATCAAAGTTGGGGTTGGATTGCCAGTCTCAACAAGCTGATATCAAATCAGCCCCCTCCTCCAACCTGCTTGGTTTGTCTGTTGGAATAATTGACCAACATTAAGCTAGAGACTATAAAGACCAAAGGATTATTTAAGACCCCAGTAAACCAATTTCCCAATACCAACTGTTCCAAGTAAGCATTGTGTATCATGTCATGTACAATGAGGCAGATTTTAAAGTCATCTAGACCTAGCTCCAAATCCCAATTCTTTTGTTTACTCACTGTACGGCACTGAGCATCTCAACCTTTCATCGATAAAATCGGAAGGATGAGGTCGGATTAAGGGCACTTTGCACATGTTAGCTCAGTTCTCCATGTAACATACACTTTATGTTCAACCAATCACATGTACTGTAAATGTGAGTGTTTAGTAAAAGCTATTCGTTGATAACAGTGATAATCCATGAAGGATATAGTTTTGCAAGGTAGAATACTGGACAAGCCACTAAAGCAAAGTTACAGTGCAAGTAGCCAAATATTGCATATGGATGTGTAGTTGACGTGTGCTCTCTCCATTTGAGACAAAAATGTTCTCTAGGGTGCTTACCTGAAACTTGAGGTCATACTTCCCACACGCATGATGGAGATTCTGATCCATAAAGTCAACAGCCCCTGCAAAGGAACGTTCCAAACTGAGTCAACAAATAGGAATTCAGAAGCAACACCACTACCCCTGACTTCATTGTGACTGGGAAAAACCAGCTCTGAATCATTTTCACTTTGTATATGTAGATTGTTCTGTACTGACTGTAAATGGGAACAGAAGCACTAACATTTGCGGTAGGAAAACGGTGGAGACTAGGAGTTTCAAAGGAGAGGACCGTCTGCGGAAGCCATCCACACTCTATCTGTTCTCTCCCCTCCCTCGTCTTCCTTTGCCCCTCTGCTCCTCCTGGCATTTCTCCTCTCTCCTGTCTGCCCTCTCACCCACAGGGACTGCTCGCCGTAAGATGAGACACGTTTCATTATTCAGAGCGAAGCATTCAACAGGCCATCTAAAAATGTGGTGCATCTCCAAATAATCATATTAACTATTTTGTTATTTCAAATTTAAGAAATCTGCACATGAGAACTGTCCAAAAACTAGGCAACTGCTTTTCTTTCAGGGGGTATGTTGACATATTCAGCAAATAATTTCCAAAACACTATGTGATGTTTGAAGTTGTTTTTCTAACTAAGACAGTGTGTGTGGCTTGAAAAACACATTTGTGTGGTATGTTTTCGTAGATTGGCTTGCCAGGTGACCAGAAATAAAAAGCATGTCCTTAAAATTCCCTCCTCCAAGGTCTATCTTCCCCAGTCAAGGGGTTCAGTGCATTCCAGCTTTACATTTTTGCTCTAACGCCCTGTGTGGCCTTGCTCAGTTTAGATTTGAACCCAGTTCAAAAAAGCACAAGTCCAGGAAAAGATTGTGCAAGACTTTTGTGTTTACACTGCACTGTACATTCTTAACAATACTGGCTATTTAATCCATAAACATCGATTTAAATTTTATGAGATTACCAATCAGCGTCTCAGAAAATATTACAAATTTAAAAGCAAAAATAGAGAAAATACTAAATAAAGCAATGTTTTCCCAGAAGTTTATGTAAGATAATGAACACAACTGCATTGATCAAGTCAGCGAGGCAAACATTGGTCGGGTGACTGCTCTGTGGCTGTGTGCTCAGAGGAACATAAAAGTGAGCAGGATTTCCCAGACCTTTATCACATCATACTGTAATTATTATTAAAAAATCAAGTTATGATTAAAAAATTATCAATTCATTAGAAAATCATTGTGCAGTCTCTCTCTATCCGAGCTTGTAAGGACATTGATCTTGGGGGGTACAATACTACTCACAAACTGCTTCATTCTGCTCCAAATTTTCTTATGAAGTTTTAAAGATGAATGAGAGAAGAGCATTTTTATTAAATAATTCTTCAAATTTCCTATATTTATCAGTGGAAATTTGATCACAATAATGATAAAAGCTAACACTGAGGAAGGTCAACTTACGATGTGGCTGGCACTGGTCTAGTTTTAAGCAGTTTTACATACAATCATTTCTTTAGTTCTCAGAATAGCCTTTGAGCTGGGGTTCAAGTTATCGATCACTATGTAACTAACTAGCTTAAATTTAGTGGCATTAAAGAATAACCATTTTTCTATGTTCAAACATTCTGTGGGTCAAGAAATCAGATGGGGCACAAGAATTCAGACAGGGAAGACTAGGTTTCCGCTCCACAGTATCTGAGATCTGGGTGGGGAAAACTTAAGCAGCTGGAGGGGGCATGAACAGAGAGCTGGGGGCTGGAAGTACCTGATGCTGTTTCCTATGCATCGGACAGCTGGTCTGGGATGACTGGAAGACTGACTCAGGTGGAACTATGGACTGGGACCCCCATTCGCGTAATGTCTCCTTGGAGCTTGAGGGTCCTTACAACACAGCAGACTTGATCTTCTTACTTGGCAATTCTGGACACCAGTGAGCAAGGCAGAAGATAGACATCAATGGGTTGGCTGACCTGGAGTCAGATGTTTATATTTGTGGCCAGTGAGAATAGGACTATGTTTTCAAACTTGGACATCTGGGCTCACAAGTCTGGGTATTTCCCAGTGAAAGGAACTATTTTACAGTAAAACTCAACCTAGTGGAAATTTCTGCAGTTGCAAGTTGCAAAGAAGAAAGTTTATGTTTTCCTTATAAACACTTACTAAGAATACACTTTATGTATGATGATAAGTAAAAACTAAATAAACAGGAATCAAATACATAGGAATGAAAGCATTGAGGTTGAAAAGAAGAAAGACGATTGAAATGAAAAGGAAAGGAAAGAAAAGGTGCAAATCAAGGGGAAAAGAACAGAACTCACCAAATGAAATGTTTCCCTGAGTTTGTGTGTGAGTATGAGATCAGTGGATCAGCAAGAAAAAAAAATGAATCGGGGTTTTAGAGAAACAAAAATGCAAAATGGAGAAAAAGAGGAGGTGGGATATTAGTTGGATTATAGCCAGTTTTCCAGCTCCAAACATCTGGAGGCAAGACAAGGAAAGGTGAGGCGCTGTCCTTTGCTGCAACGCTTGCCTCCACGGGGGCTGGTTACTCAGGATATTTACATTAAATTAACGTGGCTGGCTATGGCTGTGTTCAGCACTTGGATACGCGGTTAAATAATCAGTGTGGTTTGGCTGCTGGTTTCTTTACTGTGGTTGAATAATTGGTGTTGTCTTGGTTGCTGGCTACTTAAAAAATGTATATGTGCACTTGTTTCTCTTTTTTTCTTTCTCTTGAGCAATTTTGACAAGCCCTTGGCAGAAAAGTGGCTGACCAGCTTTCAAACCGGTACTTTTTCTCCTTGTCATTTATGCTTCCCCCAGATGCTTTTTAAGGACTTGAGAGTCTTAAAGACTTTTCTTCCCGGGATCTAGACGATGTGCTCTGTGTTAGGAAAGAATTCAGCTTGCTTCTTTTTGTTTGTAGCAAAGAGATAAGGCTGAGTCTAAGGGAAGCTGTGGTTTACCAGAAATGGATGCCTCTTTTCTAGGTATGATTCACTACTAGGTCCTCAGATCCACCATAAGAATGGGGAAAGACAATTACAATAATTACAATGACCTTTGGATAAAACATCTCTGCGTTGGTGCTGTGCTTAGTCACTTAGTCGTGTCTGAGTCTTTGCGACCCATGGACTGTAGCCTGTCAGGCTCCTCTGTCCATGGAATTCTTCAGGCAAGAATACTGGAGTGGGTTGCCATGTCCTCCTCCAGGGGATCTTCCTGACCTGTGAATCGAACCTACTACTCTAACGTCTCCTGCATTGGCAAGGGGGTCCTTTACCACTAGTGTCACCTGGGAACCCCAAAACAACCCTATATGCAGGCGTGTGTCCCATGTTAGTCATTTGCTAGATCTTTAAAACCTAGAACAGTACTTGATACATAGTAGGTGCTCGATATTTGGTAAATAAAGGATAATAACTGTGAAAATAGAGTTTGCTTCATTCAGTCTTTTTGTTGATTTGCTTAACAATTGTCAAATTACCACGAGCTGCTCTGCCCTGGGAAACCCACTCCTCCCCAGATGGCTCCCTTCCCTCATATTCCAAGACCCAACCCTGACTTCAGGCAAATGATGATCAGGGTGGATAACGCTCCTTCAGCAGCAAACTGAGACAGTAGTGTCAAGAGACAGCATGAGTCAGGGACAGCCTCCACCTGCCAACAAACTCCAACGATATATGCATATAAGTCATGAATGAAGGCAAAGTCTTTAACTGCTACTCAGAAACCACAGGTTCTCAGGGTCCCAGAGGATAAGGAACCCAAAGGTCCAGCTCTGAAGCCACATACAGAGAGGAAACTAGTGTTTCAGAGTGGGAAGTAAGAAAGAAAGTGCGTTTTTTCAAATACGTCTCATCAATATTAGGATAAATTCACCTCTACTAGAAGTCTAGAACATGAATTTTATGTCAATCATTGTGGTTACTCAGACTCAGGATAATCTGAGTAAAATTGATTGGAAAGTATCAAGTTTCTTAATATTGATTCAGATCTATCTCAGGGCAGAGGTGAGGGTGAATACCTAAGATTTTAAAGGAATTTGGGGTGGATTCTTTAGAATTCATTGATCTTGCCATTTTAGTAAGGAGTTTTATTTCCCTTAATAAAAGGCATTCTTCAACACCTTTTTTGAGAACTACTAAGACCAAGTATAGAGAAACTCCCAGGAAAGGTAAACCTCTCATCCCCCACACTGTCCTGGGTGCTATGGAAACAAGGTGCAGTGGTGGCCAAGGTGACAGGCTTAGCAGATCACCTTCTGGGCATTCTCACTTATTCGGTGTTGTTGGATCACTTAACTTCCTTCAACTTAAATGCCATCAATCTTTACCTTATTAATTTTCTGAAGACATAAATAATAATGTTTGTCTTACACATAATAGGAGAAATTAAAATTAAAGCTACAATGAGGTATAACTTTCATCTATCAGATTGACAAAGATCCAAAAGTTTAATGACATGTTGTGTTGGTGATGATGCAAGCAGACAACACTCCCGTACGCTGCCACAACTTCTTTGGAGAATGGCTGACCCATTGAAACAACACATAACCAGCTGAAACTGGTTTTGCCTCCTTAAATAGGCTGATGGGTTAATCAAAACTTGAGTTATTTTAGAGAATAGCACTGCGCATGTGTAGGTTGGAAAGCCATGTCTCCAAGATGACCTCGGAACTAAGAACCCCCAGTCCACCTAACTCAAATAGAAATGCTGCCACAAGAGCCCTTTGTGGGGGGCTCTTGACCAAGAAATTGGTCAATATGGAAACTCTGACTTCCAACATCAGTCCAAACATCAGTTCATAGCTTATATGAACTGATTCAAGACTAGCCAATCAGCCTCCAAGTTTGAAACTCCCCCAACCTTTTCAATTTCACCCTGAACCATGGGTCATGGAGGCAGATTTGAGTCCTGCCTCCTGTCTCTTTGCTGGTCAACCTCACAATAAAGCTCTTCGTTTTCTCAAAAACTGGTGTCATGGTATTGGCTTCTGTGTACATAGGGGCAGTGAACTTGCTTTGCAACACTATCATAAATAGAACAGTTGATCTATCACAGTTTAAAATGTCCCTCCTCTTTGATGCAGTAATGTCACTTCCTAAAATATATCCTCTGGCTGTATTAAAGTACTTGTGAAAAGACAAATGTGCAAGGTTACTCACTGCTGCATTGAAAGCACAAAAGATGAACTTTGTTCATCAGTAAAGGACTGGCTAAATAACGTATGGGACATCAAAAATGGGATACTATGCACTCATCAAAAGGATAAGCAAGTAATAGGTCAGTGCTTGGAACAGCGTCCAAAATGTATTATTAAGTGAAAAAAAGGCAAAGATTATTATTTTAAAAGATTTATTTTATATGCATATGTAATATCTCTGGGGATACATATAAAACTTTGATAGCAGTGGTTGAGGGAGGTGAGTCTGTGGGTGCAAAGGTGAGTGGAGGCTTTCTGGACACGTGAATGTTTTTATACCTTGTATGTTTTGCACTATATACATATATTTCCTATTCAAAAATGCATTTGAATAATAATAAAAATAAACTGGCAAAGAAAACATGGTGAAAGGAGTTTTGGTAACTAAATGTATATCTATGCATGAAATGAAGCTCTATAGAATAAAGCCACCAATCACAAGCACCCCTAATCAAAACACTAGTGGAACAGACTGCTAATCCAGCTAAGAACTCAATAAATATATCTGAGGTGGGTAACTGAATTATATGAAAGAGTCTATCAATATAAATGGTTAATCATTTAGGGATATGTGTACAAATTTTGGATTCAAATGGCATGTATGGCCTCACACTATTTTTTTAACAGAAGAAAAAAGAAATACTGGACTTTCCTGGTGGTCTAGTGGTTAAGAATCCTGCCAATGCAGGGGAAACATGTTCGAGCCTTGGTCTGGGAAGATTCTGTAAACCATAGGGCACCTAAGCCCATGTGCTGAAACTACTGAGCCTGTGCTCTCTCTCGGCCCAGCAACCACAACTACTGAAGCCTGCATGCCCTGGAGACTGTGCCCTGTTGCCCTGCAACAGGAAATGCCATCACAAGAAGCCCATGCACCGCAACAAGAGAGTAGCCCCCCTCACTGCGACTAGAGAAAGCCTGTGTGCAGCAACGAAGACCCAATGCAGCTAAAAATAAATACAATTTTTTTTAAAAAAAGAAAAGAAATACTAAATGTTGAAACTTTAAATAATAAAGCTATAGATGAAAAGATTCAATTTAACATCCATGATTCAATTTAACATCAGTTTTAGGTTAAAACAAAGTTTCAAGGGGGTTGTCAGTACAGTCAAACTATTCTGTATAATAGTATGATATAGACTGGTTGATATACATTATACATTTGTCAAAACCCATAAAAAGTACAACACAAAGAGTGAACCCTAAGGTAAACTATAGGCTTTAGTTAATAATAAGTGTTGATATTTGTTTATTGATTGTACCAAATGTACCATACTAATAAAACATGTAAATAAAAAGGGGAACAACCCAGGGAGAAGAGGGCAGGAGATATGTGGGAACTTGAAACTTTCCAATCAGTTCTTCTGTAAACCTAGCAGTGCTTATAAAAATAAAGTCTATTAATAATAACAATAAGAGAACAAAATAGAACGTAGGAAGATTCTTTTTAAAAATGCTTCAGCTTTCTGACATATATAATTAAGCATTCCATGAATACCTGTTGGCTTCAACTGAATCAAAGTCAGTAAAAAAGGAGCAGATAAGTATGAAAGCAGCTTTAAAATGTAGGATGACTATCAACTTTTTGTGATAAATTTGATACAGTCCTGGGATTCACATTTCAAAAGAGCCTTAGACAGTTTGTCAACTATCAGTCAATAAGATCATAGATTTTTTTCCCCCAAGATACTTCATGATAATTACATATATTTAGCAATAAAGATAGAAGCAATTCTAATGCCTCTCTCCCAAATTCTTTGAGAAACATTAACCACACACTCATAAATTTTACGTTAACTTGTTGATATATAATTTTGTTGTTGTCAAGGTTTTCTTGACGGGGGAGGATGGAATGCGGAGAGGAAGCCTATTGCCTTTGTTTAGACTTTTACAAGGAAAAAAAAGTAAAATTTTAAAATAAATGAGCAGCTCTCTCACAAATTATGTTTTAATGTTTAGAGAACAGTTTATCCATATTTATGACACATTTACAAAAAAGTTTCTTCTTGATATCAATAGTGAAAAACAAGATTTTAAAACAAGGCTTGGCACGGCTTTCAAACATCCTACCATGTCCACTAAAGAATTGGCTCTAATTATTGAAGAGCTTAAGATGTCATGTCCAAATGTGCATAAGGTGCTATCTTGGAAAAATTACTCTTTGTAGAAAACTATACTGACTGCACATTCAGAACTCAATTCAACATTCAGAAAACTAAGATCATGGAATCCAGTCCCATTACTTCATGGCAAATAGATGGGGAAACAATGGAAACAGTGAGAAACTTTATTTTGGGGGGCTCCAAAATCACTGCAGATGGTGACTGCAGCCATGAAATTAAAAGACACTTGTTCCTTGGAAGAAAAGCTATGACCAACCGAGAAAGCATATTAAAAAGCAGAGACATTACCAACAAAGGTCCGAAGAATTGATGCTTTTGAACTGTGGTGTTGGATAAGACTTTTAAGAGTCCCTTCGACTGCAAGGAGATCCAACCAGTCCATCCTAAAGGAAATCAGCCCTGAATATTCATTGGAAGGACTGATGTTGAAGCTGTAACTCCAGTACTTGGGCCACCTGATGCGAAGAACTGACTCATTGGAAAACACCCTGATGCTGCGAAAATTGAAGGCAGGAGGAGAAGGGGACAATTGAGGATGAGATGGCTGGATGGCATCACCGACTAGATGAACATGAGTTTGAGTAGGCTCTGGGAGTTGGTGATGGACAGGGAAACCTGGCGTGCTGCAGTCCATAGGGTCGCAAAGAGTCGAACACAACTGAACTGACTGACTGCCAACTGCAAGCCTGGGAAGGTAAAGCAGATTATGCCTCAAATGGTCTATTTGGACTTTAAATTTCTGTTTCATTAATATCTCTCTTTCATAAACTTTGAAAGTTAAGTTTCGTGAGAATTGAAGTGCCTGCTGATTCAGTGGGATTTCCTCTTGTTGACACCCAGCCAGTATCTTGATCTCACAAAGCAATAGTGTGGGTTACACTTCCCACCCCCGGAGAACAGCTGCTCTTGTCTGCTCTATGGAGAATCAGAAAATCTGGGTCATGCTGCCACTTGGCATCTTGTAGCTGTTAATGTCATTCTTTGAAGAATCAGAAGTTTGCTTCCTACATTTTTATTAATCTTCAGACAGTGGTGAGCCCTTAAGTTCCTACACCTAACAACTTATTTGCCTCTAAAACAAGAGAAAACAGCTAGCATCAACATATAGCACAGAACTTCTCCAACAGTTTGTGGTGAAAGACTTGGTTATTTTTCCATCTATCACTTAAAAATAAATAAATAAAAATATATGAATAAAAATAAATACAGATGCATGCTCTAAACCAGAATCTTAAGGTCACAGTGTCTTTGTGGATATTTTCCTGAAGGGGTGGGGCGAAGTGAGCTCTATCCTCTCTTTACCAAGAGGGTTTTGTAAAGACAATGTGAAATGACAGAAGTGCGTTCAAACTTTATTGCAACAAATTGATTGCTTCTATTCAGGGTTGGAAGAGTCACTTCATAAGTACAAGCACCACGGATATCAGGTTCCCCAGCATACTGTACTGCTGGCAGACACTTATCTGCTCAAGGTGACTTCTTTTGGTCTCCATATACTCTAGCTTGGAAAAGTTCCTATCTGCAGAGAAGATGCCATATCACCCAAGTGAAATGATACCTACAAAATGGAAGCCCCCAATTTTTATTGGTCAACTCAACACACATAAAATTATCCTTCCAAATTATTATAAAAGAATCCAAATGCTTGTTCCTACTTTCTCACAGGGCTTGTGGACCAGGGCTGACTTATGGAACACATTGGTGGAGCCCTGGTACAAGGGAAACTTTTCTTCTAATGACACCCTTGGTTTTCCTTCAGGGAGCCAACTCTCTCTCACTCCTAAGGTATGTGGGTGCATTACCTAGACCAAATGAGGTTCTAGCACTTTGTCTAGAACTTTGGGAGAAAAAGTAATTATTTCTAATGAGATTGCTAGGATAAACACAGCATTCTTTCTTATGTAGTTTTTTTTCGGAGAAGGGGTGTAGGGTAAGATTCTCAGAATTGGGCTGGGCCGAGAGGTTGTATTTTACATTTATTTAACATTTTAAAGGTGCATTTTAAAGGTGTAGCTAGATCTGCTTGCAAAGAGAATTTGCATTTCCTTCAGCACCGTTGATGGCGCATTTCCATCAGAGGTATCCTAAGGAGATGACTGTCACAGGGCTTCCACAATATTTAGCCTGTCTCCTGGCTGTTAAAGTAATATCTCATTGTTTTCTCACCCTTTAATCTAACTACTAATTAATTTAAATATCTTTTCACTTGTTTGTTTACATTTGGATTTGCACTTCTATTTGTCTATTTACTGTCTATTTAACTGTCTATTTAACTGTTAATTTGTCTACTTAACTGTCTATTTACATCTTTTCCCTCTTTTCTCTTAGACTATCTTTTGCTTGTAAGAGCTCTTTGCTTATTAAAAAATTGGCCTTTTGTCATCTCTGTCATAAACATTCTTTGTAGATCTGTGGTATGTCTATTGACTTAGTCTCTCGTTATCCTTTCTATACACAACTTCTTAATTTTTTATATAGTCAAACATGTATGTTTTTGTTTCATGTCTTCTGATTTTCCATGGTTATTTGGTTATAAGATCTTACTAAATTCTAGGATATATGTCATAGCCTAGATTTTCACATTTGGTTTTTATTTTACTTTTTATATTTAAGCTTCTATTCAATTTTTTTTAGTTTTTACATTTCCTCTTAAATGGATGGCCAGTTTTCCAAGCATCATTTATTTAAGGGACCAAATTTTTTCCACTGATTAAATCATAACCTTTGTGAAATAAATATATGACAAAGGTTATGGTCTAATCAGCACCATATTGCTTTAATTATTAAGGAGGTATCATATGTTATAATACCTCTCATTTGAGTTTTGTAATTTTTTTAGGTATTTGTAATCAACTTTCCTATATGAATTTTAATATAGTTTCATACAGCTCTCAGAAAAACCCTGTTGAGATTTCAACTGGAATTACATTAAATTTACATATTATTTAGAAAAATTACCATTTTATTTTGTGAATACTTTATCTATATAGTCAGATCTTATTTTCATTCTCATTGTAAGATAACTACTCATGCATCCAAATCTTCCTTATAAAATTTATTCCTAAATATTTTATATCTTTTGCACAAATATACACGAATATATTTTTCCAAACTATTATAATCGTAGTGATGGTGATGACCTTGGGTATTTTCCCAAAGAGTTGCTGTTCTGTGTTTAGTTGCTCATATCCGACTCTCTGTAACCCCATAGACTGTAGCCCACCAGGCTCCTCTGTTCGTGGGGATTCTCCAGGCAAGCATACTGGAAAGGGTTGCCATGCCATCTTCCAGGGGACCTTCCCAACCCAGAGATCAGACCCAGATCTCCCACACTGCAGGCAGATTCTTTTCTTCCTGAGCCACCAGGAAAGCCCAAAGAAGTACTGGAAGTCTTTAAGTGGAGTAGTGATTTGGTCGGATTTAGCAGCAGCATGGAAGCTTACTTTAGAGTGGTGATTCCAAAATGCTGACTGAAGTTGCAAAAACTTCTGAAGTTTCCCTTGTGTTATAACTTTCTGGTAAAATAAGAAAAAAATAGAACAATGTATTAAATTTTTTAAAAACCTAAATGCATTCAATTTTAAAAGCTTCTATTCTCAAGTTATTCCCACACTGCTTTGGGGGTTTCAAAGTTGTCTTTATTTAATAAAACACTAATGTTAATAATTGGTAGTAAGGATTTTTTTATTTGTTAATATTTGACAGAATTCAAAAGTTGGTATCTTTTTTTCAAAGACAATCCAATTTTTTAAAAAGTGAACTGATCTATGAAATTCCCACATCTGGGGACCACTTGCAGGATTATTTGACCAGAAATAAACCTTTGTAATTTTTTTCTCAAAATACACACTCCTGGGCCCTTAGGGAAGAATTCAAGTATAATGGAAGTTATATGGGTATATGTATTTTTAAGAAACCTCCCAAGTGATTCTGAGACACTTCCCTGGTTAAGAACCTCTGATTTAGAGAAAGAGTCGGGAAACACCTAGTGGTCAGCAACGGTGAAAACCTCTAAGAAGCCAGGGTAATGGGAATACAGAAAGGTTGGATGAGAGAGACTTTTTCTTAAATGAAATCAGTAAGACTTGGGATGGTCCTTGAGGGGGTTTTAAGAAAAGACAGAGTTTTGGAGAAGGCCCCACATCTTCAGCTGTGGGAATAACCCAATTTTATTGTGCATGAATGGGGTGCCCATCCCTATGAGATTCCCATCCTATTTTGTTCCCAAGAATTCATTCTTCTTAAGAAAGCAATGGAGAGAGACAAAGAAGACTTTTAGGAAGAAAGGGATAGACATTCAGGATGTAAGGTAGCATACAGAATTCTAGAGTAGAGGTTGTTGGTTTCTACTGGATGTCTGCTACCAAGTATTCACATTCTCTACTTATAAAAACAAAAATAAATTACAACAGGTGAGTGGGCACCTATGACTTAAGCCTTCAGCTAAGTGGTATGCATCCTAGACACTCCCCAATGACATATTGCTAAGTCCCTGAAAGGGCAGAGTTCTGCTTCTCATGGCCTTCTCTTTGCCATATTGCTAAACACCAACAGGCAGGTGATGCTTAACATTGAGCCTTTTTTTCTTACACCAAACCACACAGCACTCTGGGAATATCACTTTATATTTCAAGACTTCAGAACAGATTCTTTTAACTTCTCGGGGCCTCTATTCTCTTTTCTATAGTATAAGTTGTTTAGAAGTTCTGAAGTTGGCTAATTTAGAAGACAAGCAATAAGTTTCTGATTTTCACACATTAAGCCCATCAAATATTTTATTGACTGCCTTTGATGGGCCATTAATTGGATGTGGGATGTAAAGAAAAGGGAAGGATCCAGGTAAATCTTTGACCCAAGCAATTGAGTATGATGGCAAGTATATATATGATTAACTATTGGTGAATAACAAACTACCTCAAAATTTAGTGGCTTGAAACAACATCTTGGGTTTTTTCTTATGATTCTTTGGGTTGACCAGGGTAAGCTGTGCTGTCCATTCATGGGGCAAGATCGGAATTAGGATGAGGTGAATGAAGTGCCTAGTGTACAGGATGTAAAGGTCACTCTCTCTAAGTCCCTGCAGCATCACTATGAAAGCAAACACTTCCTTAAATTTTATATCTGGCTGCTTCATCTCCCCTCATCCTAGTCCTGACCTTGGGTTGGGGTTTCTCTTATATGCTTTCCATCACACGGCAGTTGCAGCTAGCGTCATCTAAAGATTCCACAGGGCTAGATATCCAAGATGGCCTTTTCACTTACACATCTTGTACCTTCTCACTCACATGGCTGAAAAAGCTGGGAGCTCCCCAGCCATCTCTTTGTCTTGCCACGCATCTTCTCCACATGGCAAGCCTGGCCCTCCTCACAGCATGGTGGTCTGAAAGCATTCAGAATCCCTACACAGTAACTGGCTTCTCCAGAGCAAGCATTCTGAGAGACCCAGGTAGAAGCTGCAAAGTTTTTTGTGCCCTCACTGGATGGTCCTAGAATGTCAGTCACCAATGTTACATTCAAAGTCATTAATGTCTGCCCAAGATTTAAGGGAAAAGAAATTAGACTCTGCCTCTTGATATAAGTAGCACAGATATAAAAGGATGGAGGACATTGATGGAGACGAATTTTGGAGAATACAAGCCACTGAAAGACCAGGCAACAAACATGTTTTGGGGATGGGAAAACAGAAGTGCTCCTGGAGCAAGCTAAGTTTGTGATGCTCATTAAGCAACCAAGTGAATAAATATACATGGAAAACAGAGAAAGACTGGAATTGAAATGATCAAATTAAGGGATGTAACTCAGCATCTAGGCACTGGATGAGATCACCTAAGGAGTGAGTTTCGAGAGAGAAGGCGCCCCCAGCCAGTACAATGGGGAAAAGGAGAATGCATTGTCTCAGAAGCCAAACAAAAAAGTACGTTGAAGAGAAGGCTTATCGTCCTGTCATGTGGTACTGAAAAGTCAGACAGAATGAGGACTGAGCAGTGATCGTTGGGTAGAGCAAGATTTCAGTCATCCTTGATGAGAAAAATACTGGGATGAATCTTGATTATAGTGAATTGAGGAGACAGCAGAGAAAGTGAGTAAAGGCAACTTTTACAAGAAGTTTTAATAGAAATGGAGTAGTTACTGAGTCGGGAGTTGTGGTCTAGGAAGGGTTTGTTTTGTTTTATGATGGAATAAAGTATAGCCTATTGCAAGTGGATGGGCATGATACAGTAGAAAGTGCATTAAGAAAGCAGCAGAAGTCGTTACAAAGAGCATTTTGAACAGGTGACAACACTGAGCCGGACTGGAAAGACAGGAGTTGGTAGCCAGTGAGATGACATTCCAGTTAGAGATTTGGAACTGGAAACTTTGGGGGTGACACGGTTATGACAATGGTTAGGCCTAGGGTACCGTTCAGAGCTGTTGCATGAATGTGAGGGAGTCAAGGAACCCAGAGGTCAAGTTTGTCATGAAGAGTAGACTGGAGAGAAACCAGTGAGTCAGCTGCTGAAACCATGAGGAAATGTACCCCTGAGGAAATTAAGCCTGAATGCCCAACTGCACCAGCAATGGTTTCATACCCTGTCCACTGAGCTGAGATGCAGCTGTGTTCCCAGAATTCCTCTCCCCACGTGGTTCCCTGTTGGTGTCAGCCATGAGGGGAATTTTGCCCCAGATCTGGAAGAAGGAAGTGAAGCGGCAGCACCACACTGTTTGTAGTCTCTGTGGCAGCTGGCACCCTTCCTTGCTGATTTAAAGCTCCCCTTGGTTGGGATGGGTCAGCACCTGACCTGAGCTTCCCAAGCTCCCGCCACTCTCTTACTTCGGCTTCTCTGAGACCTGGACAAAGTGCATATCAGCTCCAGGTTTGAAGGCACCAGCTTTCCCTACAAGTTACCCCCTGAGGTACCAAGCCTGAAAGTGATGAGGAAGATGCTAGTTCCAGTTCACCCCGACTGGTTCCAGCTTTCCTCACAAGTTGAAGTCCCAGTTTTCCTTTCCAACCACCAATCTGGCCAACCCCAGTGAATTCAGGCTGAACACCAGACAGCAACAACAGGCCACACTGCCCACTGCCCAGCTACCACCCCAGTGGGAATTCCCCTCTCCATAATAAATCTGTCTGTCTTGCTCACAGATCCTGCCCTGGTCAACTTCTGGCTGACATAGCATCCACTGTGATGGACCACCTTCTCCTCTGTGCCGAGGGTGGTACGATTGCCGAACCAGGTTCATCTGCCTGACGCACGGCAAGGCAGATGCTGACAGGCCAAGGTTTACAGCAAAGTGTGTATTCATAAGGCAGTCGAATGAGGAGACCCAAGAACACTTCTCATGTGTCTCTCCGAAGGTGAAGGGTTCAGGGTACTTAAGGGATAAAGCTGAGGTGTGGGGAGCATGGGGAAAGGGGATTGGAAGTAAGAAAAGGGGGAGGAATCATCATTTTACCCAGGCACATCTAAGCTACAGGTGTCTTCATGAGACAAGTGTTTAGAAAATGGCACATTAGTATGTTCTTAGGGTAGAGTTTTCGGTTCTCTGATGTCAAGAGGTCACCAGGCAGACAACCGAGCATGCTCAGTTGATGCTTGGGTGGTCTTAACCGGCTACAGCTCCAACTGTGCACAGCTGACTATAAGTTCCTATAAAACAACTTGGGCAAATACCTTATTATTTAGGTTACATGACACTTGGGGGCTTCCCAGGTGGTGCTAGTCATAAAGAACCCGACTGCCAATGCAAGAGATGTAAAAGACACCGGTTCAATCCCTGGGTCAGGAAGATCACCTGGAGAAAGACATGGTAACCCACCCCAGTACTCTTTCCTGGAGAATCCCATGGACAGAGGAGCCTGTCAAACTACAGTTCATAGGGTCTCACAGAGTCGGACAAGTCTGAAGCACCTTAGAATGGCACATGACACTTGGAGGACATGTAAGTTTTCTGTAGCAAAAATTAAATCCAGCTGGGTCAGTGAAGGCGGGTTACAGGTTTATTGGGGCTAACTGGTTACTGATGACCCTCAGTTTCAGTACTGGTTATATACCATATTGAGGAGGAAATAGCCACTCAACTCATTCTCTGTCTTCTGTGGTTTCCAGGAGCAGTCCTGGTTGAAAAGAGCTGTGAGTGAAGTGAAAGTCACTCAGTTGTGTCCGACTCTTTGTGACCCCATGGACTATACAGTCCATAGGACTCTCCAGGCCAGAATACTGGAGAGGGTAGCCTTTCCCTTCTCCAGGGGATCTTCCCAACCCAGGGATCAAACCCAGGTCTCCTGCATTGCAGGCAGATTCTTTACCAGCTGAGCCACAAGGGAAACCCGAGAGGCACTGTTGATGGAGGAAAAGTCAGTAGGTGACTACTGGAGTAGCAGACAGTCGCTCAAGGAAGCTCAAGGTTTCCAGGGAAAGTGGGAACAAGGGAGGAACAACAGCCCATCTACTCCATTTCCAGGGCTGGTGGGAAGTGGGTTATGGAAGAAAAATCAGCCAGAAATGAAGAACATTTTTAAGGAAGGCTGCCTCAAAAGGCTAGCTGGGATGTATTTTTCCAGCTTTGTTGAGATATAATTAATGTATAACATTGTATAAGTTGAAAGTTTACAGTTTGACAATTTAATAAACGTGTACCGTGAAATGCATACCACAATAAGGTTGGTTAGCACATCCTTCACCTCACATAATTACCATTTTTTTGTTGTTGTTTTTAAGGTGAGAATATTAAAGTTCTACTCTTACAGCAACTTTCAAGTATACAACACAGTAGTGTTAACTACAGTCACCATGCTATACATTAATTACATTCCTGGAACTTACTCATCTCATAACTGAAAGTTTGTACCCCTTGACCAACATCTCATTTCCCCCAACCCTCAGCCTCTGTCAACCACCATTCTACACTGTTTCTATGAACTTGGTTAAGACTCCACATATAGGTGAAACCAGACAATATTTATCTTTCTCTGTCTGACTTATTTCACTTAGCATAATGCCTTCAAGGGACATTCATGTTGATGCAAATGACAAGATTTCCTTCTTTTTTCTTTCTTTTCCTATGGCTAAATCATGTTCCATTATATGTATGTGTATATATACATATAAAACCACATTTTACTGATCCTTTCTTAGCCTGTTGATGTATACTTAGGTAGTTTTCTATCTTGGCTACTCTGAAAAATGCTGCAGTGACCATGGGCGTGCAGATATCTTTTCAAGATAGTGATTTCATCTCCTTTGGATAAAGTATTCTGAAGTGCAATTGCTAGATCATATGGTAGTTCTATTTTTAATTTTTTGAGGAACCTCCATTCTGGTTTCCATAGTGGCTGCACAAATTTATATTCCTAGTAACAGTGCATGAGGGTTCCCTCTCCTCTATATTCTCACCAGCATTTGTTATCTCTTTTTGAGGACAGTCATTCTAGTAAGTGTCAGGTGATATATCATTGTGGTATGATTTGCATTTCCCCAATCATTAGTGACATTGAGCATCTTTTCATGTATTTGTTGGCCATTTGTATGTCTTTGGAAAAATGTCTATTTGAGTTCTCTCTCCATTTTTTAATCAAATTGTTTATTTTTTTTGTTATCGAATGGTATGAGTTCCTGTTATATTAGGCATATTAATCCTTTATCAGATATGGGGTTTGCAAATATTTTCTCCTATTCTATATGTTCCAGCTGGTTTTAATTAGAGCAAGAAGGTGGAGCATCAGCTCAGAAAGCAGCTTGGGAATATGCAAGATTTTGCTAAGAACAAACTGAGACTCCAGTTGAAGTGGGATTTGAGGGGGTGGGGTTGAGGGGGGGAAAGCTCAAGATGGGAATCATGACTTAAGCTTAAGTCAGCTTAAGGGATGTACAGAGTGATATGGGGATTAGTGTGGGGGTGATGAGAGAGGGCTTGGAGGTCTGGTGGCTATCAATGAAAACCTGGATGTAAGGCAAGGTGATACCCAGTCTCTGGGGCTGATGCAGGAGTGGGCTCATTCCTCCTTCTATCTCATCATCATAGCCTTCTTTTCAAAAGTTTGGTCTCTCCAGCTGCTGAAAGCCATGCAGGCCTGAAATGCCATGAGGCAGGGGTGCTGAGGTGACTCCCTTAAAATTCTCACAGCTCTTTGCCTTTCTGAAATCCCATTGAGCTCTACCAAGGCCAGGATGGGGGCTAGTGTCACAAGAAAACAACAAAACATGTGCACCTCTAGAAAGGGTGTTCTCAAACGTTGGTTCCCAACAGGCAGCAGCAGCTTTCCCTGAGAATTTGTTAGAAATGCAGAGTATTGCTCCCCACCCCAACCCCAGTCCTACAGCATAAGGAACTCCAAGAGAGGACCCAGCAGTGTGGCTTTAAACTAGGCCACCAGGCAAGTCTCAAGCTCACTAAGGTTTGAGACCCACTATTCTAAAGGAACTCAACAAACCAAACGTCAGCTTAAAATGCAGCTGACTGCCGACCTTGTTCTTATGAGCCTAAAGCCACAGCGTATTAAACGTGAAAGGACTTTTTCAAGGATCCAATCTGGCCTTGTACATTACATGTGCAAGGTCCAAGTCATAGAAGGGAATGTGACTTGTCTAAGCCCTCCCGGCAGGGCGGAGATTACAATTCCAAATAACCAAAAAAATAAAAGGAAAAACAAACAAAAAACACCCCAGAATCTGGGAAATGGTTGTTCCAAAGGGCCATCCAGTTGCAGACTTAATATATTTAAATATAGATTGCTATTGTTGTTTGTGCGTTCTCCATTAATCAAGCCAGAGCAACGAGGTCTGTCTTACTTCACCCTGGCTCTTCAAGGTTTATTTGGTTTCGTTTTGTTTTGGGGAATTGCTGAAATGCAATTCCTAATGCAGACCCTGAGCCTCTGAGGAATGCAGCAGGCTCCGCAGGAACAGGAGGCTTTTCTGCAGCCTGATAAGTCTGCAGACGTTGTGTCTCTATTCTAAGTTTTGCCATTTCCAACTCACCGGGCCCCTGGGGAGAGGCGGACAGCCGAACGCAGTGCGTACTGGAGCCGCGGCTGCCTCGGCTTCACCAGAGGAGATTTAGCCTGAAGTTTTGTGACAGATGGAGTTGATAGTCTCTCCACGGAAAGGGGAGGAAAAAAGCGCCAGTTTTTGACAGGCTGCAGACGCCCGGTGCCTCTGGTGGTCGAAGGCTGCGTTGCGCCGCAGTTAAGGTAGTTCGCAAACTCCCGCGCCTGGATCGCAGAGGCTGCTGTAGGCGGGCGGTTTCCCTTAAACCGAGGGAGACTGAAACATACGCTTGAATAGAAACCTTGCAGGATGCCAAGTTATCCCCCTCCTCTTATGTTCTGACTGCGGCCAGAAGGTACTGCGTAACACCCCTAAATACTTTTAATGTATTGTTTCTTTCATCACCGTCCGTTAGAAACTTTCCTTCTTAAAAAAAAAATAATTTGACTTATTGGATTTCTGTCTTGAAAATGACAATGCCTGGCTCCAGGGCCATACCTGCCAGATCGGTAAATGGGGACCAGGGTGCTGGGTGGGGGCTGAAAAGAGTGGTAAATATCGATATCTCCCTAGCTAAAGCATTTGCCTCTTTCTTATGTGTGTCTGGATTTTTTTTTTTTTTTTAAGTTTCAGCGTTCCACATTAAATTCTCTGGGTTCTCTTCTCCACCCCCGCCCCCCCCCGCCCATCCCGCCGTGATGATCCGGCAAAGATGGGGAACTCGGAAAACAAACTGAATTTTGAATTCAGTCGAAAGCACAGATGAGGGCCAGGCAGAATTAATAAAAGTACCAAATAAAGAAATAAAACAGAAGAAGAAGAAAGGAAAAAAAGAAGAACCAAACAAAAAGGACCGCGGCCAAGCCGGATGCAAACAGCTGCCCCTGCGCCCGGCCCGCTGGTTCCGTGCGCGGGCAAGGGTTCCACATCCGAGCCTCCTTAAGAGTAGGAGGCGCTCCCGGGCCTCTGTCAGGCTCCTTAAGCCGTTCCTTTCAAGCCCTGAATGCCTGAATGTGAGCTGCCCACCACCCTCCCCGCCCTCCCCCACTCCGCAACCCCACTCCAGCGGCTCCTTAAGAGTAGGAGGCGCTCCCGGGCCTCTGTCAGGCTCCTTAAGCCGTTCCTTTCAAGCCCTGAATGCCAGAATGTGAGCTGCCCACCACCCTCCCCGCCCTCCCCCACTCCGCAACCCCACTCCAGCGGCTCGTAAAAAAAAAAAAAAAAAAAAAAGTTTCAACAACAACAGGCGGGACCAATAGCATCTCGAAAAGCCGGGAAAGGGGGCCGAGCAAAGGGCGAAGGAGAGTGGAGAAAGGAGAAAGCGGGCAGGCTCGGAGCGCGCGGGGCCGGGGCTCGGCGAGCCGGAGGAGCGTTGCTAATGTTTTTGTTTGTTTGCTTTTCCATGCATGCATAATGAGGGGGCACCGCGGCACCACGCGGGGGCTCCCGGCCCACTTTTGTATTTAAAGCCTCGCAGCGAGCGAGTCCGCAGCCGGGCTCAGCGGATCCGCTCCCCGGGCTTCTTGTCACCCGAGAAGCCGCCGCCGAGGGAAGCCCGGGAGCCGCCGCTCTCCCGCCGCGCCGAGTTTCCCGTTTTCACCGTGCCGCCCGGAAAGAGCTCCCCGGAGCCGAGGCCGGGGTCGCCGCGGGCGGAGGGGGAGGGGACGCGGACGGCCGGGCCGCGGGAAGGCGGGCAGCGCCCGGACGCC